GGGGCCGGGGACCTGGACTCCTGGGTCTGAGGGAGGAGGGGCTGGGGGCCTGGACCCCTGAGGCTAAGGATCAAGAGAGCTAGGAGCCAGGACTCCTGGAACCTAAGAGAGAAGGAGGTGGCACTCTGGGCCCGGCCGCCTGGGTCCTGGATGCCCCTCCAGGTTCCGTATGACACTTCCTTTGCCAGGTGAGATCCCGCCCGGAGGAAGAAGGAAGAAGGCGCGGGCCTGGGACTGGGAGGCGGAGGCGGGCTCCGAACCAAGAAGACGGGGTTCCCAGCTTGAGCCGGAGCCTGAGAGTTTGCCTGCCTGGTTCAGCGGGGACCACGAGGTACGGGGCAGTGGTGGCCCAGGGTCCCCGGTCAGGTCTGGAGGGGAGCCGGACAGCCGGCCAAAGGGACGGCGGCCGCGGCTGCTGAAATCCTGGGCCGCAGCCACGTGGCCTCAGGAAGCGCGCACTGGAGCCCCGAGGGGGTCGGGGGCTCCCAATCGCGGGTCCCCCTGCGCCGTCTGGGTCCCACCCTCCTTGTTGCCTCTCCCAAAGGGCCGAGGACCAGTCGGGCTGGATCTGCAGTGGGTTGTTATTTCCTCTTGGCGGGGCTGGGGCCCGGAGAGGACAGAGGTGAGCCAGCTGTGCCCCCCACCCCTGCAGCTGGAGCCTCGGCCCGGAAAGAGAGGGGGCGGGTGGAGGCGGGAGGAAGGCGGCTTAGCGAGTGCGCGCGATCACCGCGTCCCAGGGTCCCATCCTGGCTCCCGCTCTCTGCCTGCTTTCAGATTGTCACAACAGCAGCCCCTCTGTACAGAGCTTGGGCCTGTGACGGCCTTTTTCCGAGTGTGACCTCATTGCGTCAAGCACACAGCAAGGGAGATAGAGCCTTCTGTTCAAGGGGACGCGGAGGCTCGGAGAAGTGGAGTGACTGGCCCCCGAGGTCTCAGAGCTAGCGAGGAGAAGTGGTAGCTTTCAAAAACAATTTTGAACTCGTTGTTATCTAGAATGGGAAAAAGCAAAGCAAACAGGCAAACACAGTCAAGGGTGTAGGAAATCCCTGGCCTTGATGTCAAAACATTATTTTCTCCATGGGTCTGCACACCCTATCCTTTGGGGGCTGTGAGCAGTATCACATCATCCTTTGACGCCGGAGTTCGTCTGCCTGGGTTCCAGATTCAGCCCCCAACATTTGCTACTGTGTGATCCAGGGCAAGTTACTTCACCTCTCTGTGCCTCAGGTGCCACCCACATCTGTAAAAGGGACAAAATAACAGCGGTCTCCCCTCACTGGGTTGTTCCAAGGATTAAATGAGTTCATTCATTTGTGTGAAGCACTTAGACCCCTGCCTGGCCCAGAATAAGTTCTCGGGAAATAGAATGTCAGCATCATGCGTGTACTCCACGACAACCCCTTGCAAACAGGCATTCTGATTTCCCATTTCTCAGGAGTAAACTAAGGCTTAAGGCTGAGGAAGTTAGTTCCGGGTCCCACAGAAAGGCAATGGCAAACCTGTTGTGTCTGGTGTCAGAAACCAAGATCTTAATATGCTGCTAAGCGCTGGAAAATGTCAGTGATGTCACCTTGTAGGGTGATAGGAGGATGGGATGAGGGGCAAGGTAGCGGGTGGGCAGGGAGAAGAGGCAATAGCTGAGAGCTGTCCAGGGAGGAGCCAGTTCAAGGGACAGCAGGCAGTGGAAGCAGTAACTCTGGGCTCTGGAGTCCCACAGAGCTGGCTTTGTGACCTTGGGCAAGTCATGTACCATCTCTGAGCATCTATTTCCTTCTCTGGGACAGGGGAGAATGATCCAAAGTAGGACTCCACTGAGCATTTATTGAGCATTTGCTGTGTGCTGGCTACTGTGCTAAGACTTTCCATGGGCAACATCTCCCCAGTTCTTGCCAAGAGACTGAATTATTATATGAGCGTCATTCCATTCTTGAGATGAGCAAGTGAGGTCAGAAAGGTTAAGTGATTTGCCCAAAGTTACACAGCAGTGGGCACAGTCAGATCCAAGTCTGGGCACTTGGCTTTCTGAGTTCTGCTCTTCTGAACTATGAACCACTGCCCAGGGCTAAGGGGTGCTGCTAGCTCTGAGACAGGATTTTTTTTTTTTTAACTGTGGATTGAGATTCATGAATGAGCAGAGGTCAGCATTAAAAAAGAAAAATAGGGAGTTCTCTGGTAGTCCAGTGGTTAAGACTCCGTGCTT